TTGTGCAAACTGCTTAGGGGGCACAAACACTGTGTCTGGACAAGCTTAGTTCTTGCATAGAATCTCCTCAGTAGGAGGATGTATTGAAAATGATTTGGTGAGTTTGGGCACTTTCCACAACCCCAACCCTGTCACCTTAGCCCCAAAGAGTTCTGCAGTGACAGCTGATTTTTACGAACCACCTCCATGAGAAAATGCACTATGGTCCTTTGAGATTGGGATGTGTTCTGCTTTCTGGGCATATGTGCCTGAATGCATAGGGCCCTAAGAATGCGTACCACTCAGTACAACTGACAGACTGCAGGCAGTGGGGCTGAACACCACACCTGTGCCGCCCAAAGCATGAAAACACCAGGATTAGATGCACATACCCTAAATCACCAATGTACATGCAACTTAAGGATGGACTCTCCTGTGTCCTATTATGTACGCAAAAAATTGTTATTTTCACTTGACTGTTAACAATTCCTCTCATCCCTTTAACACAGAGTTTTCTGTTAAACACTTATCTGTCTCGGGTTTCAGCAGCCTTCATTGTGTGGACCTGCCTGGTGTCACATAGACGTTCTCCCACAAATGTCTCAGCCAACTATTCTTATTTGTGTGCACACATGCCGTGGCCACATCCAATCCTATAGGTGACCCATATTCCAACCATTCTGCAAAGTACTTAGTGGTGAGCACCGACCCTTGTGGCTGCCTGGGAGGTGACATGGAAGTATGTGTCAAAAAGTGCCATGAAGTCTCCATTCCAAGAAAGAGTGTCTATTTATGTTACCTGTTTTGTGCATCACACTGCAAAAAACAATCTGCTCTACATTTTACTTTGTATAAGCTCAGTGGATACACAGACTCCACAGATTCAGTGGATACATAGAAAGTCAAGCAACGCAATCTATAAACTTATAAATGAAAGAGCACATGCGTCAAAAAGTAAAGCTGACCATACATTAGTAGATTTTAAAACGTTTGTATGAACATTCGTAGCATTTCTAGCTGCAGCCATCTTGAGTAAGGGGAGATGTTTCATGTAGCATTTACTTCCTGGAATACATCTGCCCTTAGATCAGGAATGCAGGCAGGAAGAGGTGTCTAGCTGAGGAAGCTCCTCCTCACCTCCTCCAGATAAACAAATAATGCCCATGAAGACTCCTGAGATGTATGACATCATTTTTTTTTTTTTTTTTAAATCAAAAAGGTTTTATTGAACCCAGTCAAAGACAGGTACATCAGACAAATAGTACAACAGTAAGTCATGCAGAAAAGAAATAAAACAGTTACAGGTCCCCTGACCTTAATGTCATCGAGCCGTGCAGTTCATGCAAGACTACAAAAGACTTTGAGTGACCTGGAGGCATTTTTCTAAGACAAATGGGAAACTATACCACCTGCTAAAATTCAGGGTCTCATAGACAACTATTATTACAAACGACTGCATGTTGTCATTGATGCTAAAAGGGGCAATACACAGTATTAACCTCCCTAACGGTATGATTATTTCAGATTTTTGGTGCTGAAAGCGGTACCATTATTTTGCATGGAAATATGTAGTTTTTTTATTGTAGGCTGTAATTTTTTGGAATAACTCACTGAAATTTGTCCGAACAAGAGTCTATTAAACATCCCGGGTATGATAAAATTTGAAACACGAAATCATAAATTATAATTTAATAAATAATCATAAAAAAAATAATAATATAATAATAATACATTTAATTCAATAATATAATCAAACCGAAAACACTGAAATTTAAAATAGAGCGCCAAGTTCGCACATTGCTGAGCAAAGTCGCAAAATCGTTTTCAGTGTCTGATGAAGAATTTCCCCACGAAGCATTATCACTCAATTCTGCAAGTGGTTCTGATTTACTATCGCTGTTCTCTAGCTGATCTAAACCCGCTTTTGATCTAAAGGGACACTTTTTGGACGCCATGGACATTTCTTAGTTTCCAGGCAGAAAGAACAGACAAAATGCAGGCGGGGCACAGGACAAAGCACTAGGGACAATATGTATGTGAAATGGGTTGAAACAGCAATGTTTTACTATGTAAAATTTGTTTGGAAAAAAATGAAATTTTTTAAAATTTTTCAAATGTCCGCCGCACAGTGTGCCGTAACCGCACAAACGTCCCGTCGTCACAGGGACCGGAACACAGAAGCCGGATGCCGACATCGGCTGGAGGAGATGGCCGGGGACGCTGCAGGGGACAGATGCGGGAGCGCAGGACAAGGTAAGCTCTGTAGGGAATGCCTATGCAGCACCGCATGGTAAGTTTTACGATGAGGTGTAGCCTTTTTTACTCCACACTTTAGTGTGTTCTTTTGGTTGACATTTTCATCCCGAGCTACACTCTGGGAATACCGCTAGGGAGGTAAGAATGAAGGTGGTATGCAGATTTTTCCTGAGCAGGGGTCATTGTTTGACACTCTGGGATTCCTGTTGCCATGTTGCAGTGTTTTTTTACATGATTATGTCATTCTGTTGTGACAGTCTGACAGCTGGAGATATGAACCCTTTCCAGCTTATGCAAGTCAACAATTCTTGATGGTGCTTCTGAGAGCTCTTTTCTGCGAGGCATGGTTCATCAGACAGTGCTTCTTGAAACCAGTAAACCCAAACAGGTGTGTGTTTTTTCTTTCCAAAATCACACTGTACATTCTGTATATTAATTAATTCTTCAATGGTATGCAAACGTCTTGTATTATGTTCAGCACACTTAGATGACTTTGTTAGTATAATTTTGATTCCCAAGGGGACTTTTTCTTGCGAGATGGGTTGAGTTTCTGACATTTTTTAAAATTTTCAAATGTCCCGCCGCCGCACTGAACGGTGTCCCGAATTTGCGTCACAGGGACCGGAAACAGAAGCCGGATGCCGACATCGGCTGGAGGAGATGGCCGGGGACGCTGCAGGGGACAGATCGCGGGAGCACAAGGTAAGCTCTGTATGCAGCACCGCATGGTAAAGCCCAAATGTAGCTCGGGGTTACCGCACTGACATTTTATCCCGAGCTGGGAATACCGCTAGGGAGGTTAAGAATGAAGGGTATGCAGATTTCTGAGCAGGGGTCATTTGTTTACTGTTTGATTATGTCATTCTGTTATGACTGACAGCTGAATATGAATTCTATACTGTTTTGCCTAGTCACTCATGGTTTCTTTAAAAATGGTACATTCTGTATATTAATTATTTATTCTTCAAGGGTATGCAAACGTTTGAGCACAATTGTAGTTAATTTTGATTGAGAGAGTTGAGTTCTGCTTTAGCCCTGGCTCACACTGAAGCGGTGTGGAATTTGCAGCGTTTTCAGTGCAAATTCCGCACCACATCAGAATCGCACCCTGTTCATGCTGTGGGTTCACTGTGGGTGTGTATGTTAAGTTAACAACACCCTGAAAGCGGTCAGCAAAGCACATTGCGTTGTGCAGAATCGGATCGCATAGGTGTGAATACCCATGCGATCTGATTCTAGTGCGAACCCAAAAGGTCTTGCACGTTTTTGATGTGGGTGGGGTGTGAATAGAGCCATACAAAATGTATAGCTCCAATCACACCGCACACAAATTGCACGTGATTTGCACAGGAATGTGGTGCGGTTCCTGTGCGAATCACATGCGATATACCGCAACGCATATATGTGAACCCAGGCTTAAGGTCATCTCCGGAATGAAAACCACATACACTGTTAGAAATTTGTTTCTGAGGAAAGGTATTCATACTGCTCCTTTGAATTTTCTTGCCACTGTGATCGAAAACGAACATTAATTTGACCTCACTAACAATTAGAAAATGAAGCAATCAAAACAAAAAATTGCACACAAAATTTTACTAATGTATGGCCAGGGTTAAAGTTAGGCGTAAAATAAAAATAAAGTAAGGCAGTTTGAGATGCATGAAAAATATAAAGAGTAAAATCAGGAGATTTGATTTGCCTGAAATTTAGTCATAAATCAAGATATTTGAGCAAAATGCAATGATGTCAATGGGGAAGGTGAAATTAAGGTGGTTTTAAGGGTGCAGCAGGTTTTAAATGGCTCCCGATGGTTATGATTTCAGCTATCATGGACCTGTTACCTGTTAGCAGGAAAAAAAAAACTGCATGTTTTGCAGGTACAAAAAGTGCATTTACTATTTTTTAAACAGGAGCCTGAAAAGTATTGTACCTACAGTCAGCAGAACACGGGTGCAATTTCAGACTCCTGCACACTCTCTGTCCAGCTTTCAGCCCGTACCTCTGTATGGACTGACAGCTTGTAAGCTGGAGGGAGTGTGAATAGACTACAATTGTGCTGAGCAGCACGGTGGCGGCCCATTCAAACTACAAGTCTGCTTGCAGCAGTGAAAGACAGGGCTTGTAGTCCTCTCATTCACAGAGTCTTGTAATTGAATGATGGGGCTGAGCGGGATGGCGGACACAGCTTTCAGAATATGACAGTGTTTGTGGGGAGAGTATCCCCCGCCCACTGTCAGGGGAAAGGGGTGATCAAGGGTGAGGGGAGAGTTTGCTGAACATGTTATACCCTAAAAACAGGTGTAGCATGTTCAGTAAGGTGAACTTATCCTTTAACCACTAGCCTACAGGGCACTTATACCCCCTTCCTGCCCAGGCCAATTAACAACTTTCAGCGCTGTCACACTTTGAGTGACAATTGCGCGGTCATGCAACACTGTACCAATATGACATTTTTATCATTTTTTTGTGACAGATAGAGCTTTATTTTGGTGGTGTTTAATCACCTCTGGGTTTTTTATTTTTTCTTAAACAAACCGAAAAGTTTTTTCTTGGTTTTTGTTATAAAATTTTGTAAATAAGTGATTTTTCTCCTTCACTGATGTGCACTAATGAGGCTGCACTGATGGGCACTGATAGGTGGCACTGATGGGCACTGATGAGGAAGCACTGGTAGGTGGCACTGATGGGAATTGACATGCATCACTGATGGGCACTGAAAGGCAGCACTGATACATGGCACTGATATATGGACCTGATAGGCGACACTGACTGGCACTGATAGGCGGCACTGACAGGCACTGATTGGCGGCACTGATTGGCAGCACTGATAGGTGGCACTGATTGGCATTGATAGGTGGCACTGACTGGCACTGATGGGTGACACTGAAAGGCAGCTCAGATGGGCACTGATATGCACTGATATATGGCATTGATGTGGAACTGATGGGCACTGACACAAGGCACTGATGGACACTGACAGGTGGCACTGCTGGGGCTACTCTGATCATCAGGGTACAGTGATCATCAGTGCCCTAATGACCAGTGTACATGTCCCCTCCACGGAAAGCCGATTACCGACTCTCCTCTCGAGTTGTCAGCGTGACAGCTCGAGAGGAGAGAAATGCCAATAACTGGCATTCCCCTGTTTACATGTGATCAGCTGTGATTGGACACAGCTGATCACATGACCGAGCCGACATCTTCAGGTCTTTCCGTGATCGGTGATCTGCTGTGTCCCAGGGACACAGCGCACCGCCGATTGCCGCACCGCGTGCTCCCTGAGCCACGCATGCGCGGTGAGAATGGGAGGATGTCATATAACGTCCTCCCAGAACGAGAAAACCACCTTGCGTCCGTCATATTACTATATGGCGGGCAGAGGTGGTTAAGGGTTTCAGCTTCTGAAAAAGTTCACTGAAATCATTCAGTAACAGATAAATACATGACATGTTGACAAGAGCGAAATTTTGGTTTTATTTTCATACCAAGAAGGCTGAGCAGTGAGACATCTGCCTATGCTCAAACAACTCCATAATGGCACCTGCTGCTATTTATTTTCTTACTTGGTGGATGGATGGATAGATGCTAGACTTGAACAAAAGTTTGTGAGATGACTATTTCTCACAACTAGAAATGCTAGTTACTACAGCTCTACATAGAATGCTTGTATTGCTTGGAACAAGCAGGCTGACAGGTATTTAAACTGTGCCCGGCCAATAGCAGAAGGACAGCCGGGCGGTACTCTCGTCAATCCGGGTGGGCGTCATATGACGTCCTTCCTGGACTTCGCGTAGGACTGCGTTGTGGCAAGATCTGTCACCGGCTGTGTGCCTTGGACACAGCTGATGACAGATCTGGGTATCTGCCCGTTGCCAGTACCATGTGAAATGCTGTGACCAGTCACAGCAGGTCACATGACAATTGTAAACAATGGATAAGGTCCTTTCATACCATCCATTGTATACAATTGTGTCACTAGCTGTGATTGGTCACAGTGATTACATTTACAAACTGGGCTTATCACAACCCATTTGTGTCACGTGATTAGCCATGGCCAATCACAGCTACCCATAACAACAAAACCTGAATTAATCGATTTCAGTCAGTTAAATGCTTGCTTATAGCAAAGAAATTCTTTAATATAACCAATCATAGTGTGTAAAAAAAAATATTGATCACTTCCCCAAAGTAGTACAATGTTACTATGGGAACATTATAATACTCTGGTCACAGTGTATTATGAAAAACAAATCCTAAAAAAAAAGAAAAAAAAAATGTAACAAAAAATAAAATCATAAAAAAACAAATTGAAAAAAAATTACTTTTTTTTTTTGTACTGTCACCAGTCAGTGTCCCTGATCAGCGCCACACGATATGACGATGCTGTACTGCACTGGTGACAGTATGTAAATATAAAATTGTGAAAGAAAAATGTTTTAATTTCTTTATTTTCCACAAAATTATGACAAAAAAATTTCAACTTCAAAAAACTCGCCATGCCTCTTACTAAATATCTCAGGCTGTCTGCTTTGCAAAAAGGGGTCATTTGGGGGATATCTGTACTGTCCTGACATTTTTGGGCCTCAAGAAATTAGACTAAATAATAAATACTGATTTGGGTTATTTTCACCAAAGAAATGTAGCAGAATACATTAGCCTAAATTTATCAAGAACATTTATTTGCAAAATTTACGTGTTTTTTTTTACAATTTTCAGCTTTCGTTAATTTATCAAAAATAAAAACCCCAGTGGCGATTAAATACTACCAAAAGAAAGTTCTACTTATGTGAACAAAACAATAAAAATTTAGATTTCATACAGCGTTGCATGACCGCGCAATTGACATTCAAAGTGTGAGAGCGCTGAAAGCAGGGAAGGGGGTAAAAGTGCCCAGTATTGAAGTGATTGTTTACCTTTCAGCCTTTTTCCCTTACCTATAGCTAGCCATGTGGCACCTGTCAAAGGCATTCAAAATTTAACATAAATACTGTGTACACTGTACATGCTTGGCTTTATTCTACAAATTAACTGGTATGAGCTATGGTACCCATTTCTTTAAGTACCGAGACATCTATAAGTTTAAAAAATTTGGTAAACTCAACATTTCATATTCCTGATATATGCCTTTTGTACCTTGGAATCGTATGAAAACGTATCCTGTTCTCTTTGTATTGCTTCCTTTGTGTGAAATTCCTGGTGTTCCTGCCACTCCCTCTGCTTTCCTATTAAGAACTCACCAGACTAGGCATCAGAGCACAGTGTGGTCAGTTCTCTAGCTGTGCTGGGAAATAGTCTGCTCTCCTCTAATGATCAGACTTGCCTTCACACACCCCCCTTTACCCACACAGCCTTAGTGTTCTGCTGTTTCTCCTCCTCCCTTACCTCTTATGCAGCTGAGTACAGAGGGAACGTGATCACTTACAAAACTGAAAAAAAGGTATGTATAATGTTTTTATATGTACACTCAAATGGTTTGCTTTTCATTCCTCTTTTAAACTGAATTGATTGTTTTACAAGGTGAGGGTTTACACTCACTTGGAGCCCTGGTTCACACTGATGCGGTGCAGAATTCACAGCGTTTTCAGTGTGAATTCCGCACTGCATCAGAATCTCGCCCCGTTCATGCAAACCAATGCGGGTGTGTATGTTAACAGCACCCCGAAAGCGGTCCGCAAAACGCAGTGCAATGTGCAGAATCGGATCACATAGGTGTGAATACCCATGCGATATGATTCTAGTGCAGACCCAAAAAAGGGTCCGGCACGTTTTTGGTGCGGGTGCGGTGCAATTAGAACCATACAAAATGTATGACTCCAATCACACCACACACAAATCGCATGTGATTTGCACAGGAATGCGGTGCTGTTTCTGTGCGAATCAAATGCGATATACTGCACCGCATATATGTGAACCCAGCTGAGTGTGTGAAACAAAAGTTTTCTGTAAACTGTGATGCTTGATGCTACCTTTTGCATCGGATATGTTTTCAGGACTTAGCTGTTATAACACAGCCCCATAAAAGCAAACACATTTCCAAATGCAGTAAATATATTGTTTGAGCTGCAAATGTCAGCTTATCATACCTTGTGCTTGGAAGTGTCCCAGTTGTGAACAAGACGAGCGGGTATAATGAAGCCATCGTCCACATGACAGGTACTACAGTAATACCAGCCGCTATAACTACATACTTTTGCTTTCCCATTGGAAAGACCTATGGGTCTTTGACAACCTATAACAATCAAAAGAAATAAATATATTATATATCAAGACTTTAACTTACAGTTAGGTAATATAATACAGTAATAGAGGCATGGCAACTAGAACTTTTTATTATTACCCACCAACAATCTTCGTGTACCTATGGTCCAAATTTTAAATCATATATTCATTTCCACATTGAGTTTCAATTATTTTTAGCATACTTCTATTAAATCTGTAATAAACTCTTGCAAAAAAAAAAAAAACTTCTCCCGCAAGTTAAGGGGAATATGAAAGACTTAGCTGAAAATGAAAACATCCAGCGGCACGCTGCCACCACTGACAAGGCTTCTGTTTTCACCCAGTCTTCCTTACGAGTTCATGGGCTCCGGCCGTTTGAATGGCCAAGCCGCAATGGCATCACTCCCGCTCATGCGCATGGGAGTCATGGCCACGACACAGAGCTCTCACGGGATGACAAGAATATGTTGTCCCTTCAGAGCGCATGCGCTGATGATGTCACCGGCTGCATAAACAGTGATCTCCTAAACGAGCACCTTGTATCTACAGGAAAGCTTTATTATACGTTTACCTGTTGGTACAAGTGCCCAAGAGGTGTTTACTACCGCTTTAATTTGAACCATGTGAAGTTTGAAAACTTACTTTTGAAAAATCCCAAACATTTATTCCTGTGAATGCTGTAACACTAATTCACTATTTCACTTCCTCAGAGGAAGTCAGAATGACAAAACGCATCAGGGCGTGACCATCTGTGACGTCAGCACGCACGCACGCACGCACGCACGCCGGGACCATGTGGTGTGATCACGTCACCGCTATTGCTGGGAATCCACAGGAACCAGTGTGTGGTGAGACTGTCACCAGCCGTACTAACGTCAGCCATTTGATTGGAAGGTTTTGCTTATAAAGTGCATTACTTTTTTACTCAATGTGAGTGCATTTTTTAAAAGGGGGGTTTTCAAGGCAATAAATAGGTTTACAGTATTACACTATAATGCTGTTTTATTTTTCCCATATATGGATTGATATCATCTAAATCGGGCTGATGAGGACATTGTAGCATGTGCGATTGATATTCCATTGACTGAAGGTTGCTTTGGGTTGCTGGCTGATTATCCAATTGTCGGGTTACAACTATTCAGCATTAAGGTGCTTGATGTTCTACAGAGTTTCCACTGCTGGTTATTCACCAGCTTCTGGTGAGTGTTGAATTCAATGGGGTGATAATCATTGTAGGATCACATTGATGGTGGATCAATGCTTTAAAGAAATATCACATTACTGAAATGAACTGAACTTTTTTCACATTTTTTATTTTTGGTGGAAGTTTCTTTATTACTTTTTTTTTATCTTGATTGGATATGGTTTATGTCAGAATTATTCCTTTATGACAATTTATTATGACAGAGTACTGTTTATGTGAATTTCTTTAGTTGCTGTTTATTGACTAATTCACTATGCACTGCTGTGTCACAACTCACAGACCTTGCTGTCAGAACAATAGAGGTGTTTAGAAGAGTTTAAGGCGATGGAGTCAGTACAGGAAACACAGCACGTAATCACTGCTTGCATTCAGCAAAGTACCATGGGATAGGTTGTCCTTTAGAAATCAAAAGTAAACCAAAGGAATGAGCAGAGGAAAAGCAAGCAAGCAGGACATCCAGGAAATAGGTGGCCAGCAGACAAAGAACAATCACAAAATAAAAAAAGATTTTTCAAAATAAACAAGTATTTGTACAGTCATGGTTATTATTGCTTGAGCCTTGCATCCTTTGTTCATTTTTTTCCAGATCTGTACAGCAATTTGGCATGACATTCTGTACAAGAGTTTCCTACAATGAAGACTGGTCACTCTGGTCTCATATCTACCCCCCTGTATTTTTCTGTAGGTAGCCAACCACAGCTCTGTGGAGTACAGTAATGATATTATTATTATACAGGACTTATATAGCGCCGACAGTTTGCTCAGCGCTTTACATTATGGAGGGAGACAGTACAGTAACAATACAGTTCAATACAAGAGGGA